AAACATTTCACAGTGTTAGGCCCTGTTTTGTGCTTATATAAACAAAGGCTATGTACTGTAAACATAATTGCTGTAATTTTATAACATTTTAGGGAAGTTGTGCTTTCTATAATATTTTAAAGCAGTGTACCACACCTCTAGTATTATGAAAAAATAGCTTGTTGCTTGTATCCTGAAAAGCAAAGCTATTTTTACAGCAGCTGAAAAAACGTAGCGGTCAAACCTGTTAGAAAATGCGATCAATCCCAAACACTGGCAGTATGTAACCATTTAGAGTCTTTGGCCAGATTGAGAGTGGCAGGTCTGACATCCTTAATGCCTGTAAATCACTCCATAAAAATATGGATTACAGGCTTTAAGACTGTGCACCGTGTTTACGGACTCTATTAATGATACACACACACTCAGGTTGGCACACTGTTTCTGTGTGTTAGTGTGTGCGTGTGTGTGAGCAGACCATGCGACAGCAATGTCCTGAGTGTTCCGCTTTGTGACTGCTCTCGTGCTGTGCTAAGCCTCTACGTGGTGATAATGGGAGACGGGCGGGTAGTGGAGTGAGGGGACAAATTCAGAATGAGAGGAAGTGATGAAGCATTCTGTCGGCCCCCTGTCGGCCCACAATCCTGCACGGCCTCTGATGGCTGTATTTATTGCTGGCCCACTTCCACCGCCCCCCTGATAACACGCATTGACAAACTCTCTCTCCCACACTTGCTCGCCTCAAATACGAAAAGAGACAGAAGACACCTCAATGGCAGCTGTAGGATGACACATATCCCCCCTCCCTTTCTTTCCCTGCTTCTTGCTTTGTTTCTCACCTCAAATCACCTTCTTTCAAGGTCTGAATAGAGTGAGCTCCTCTTCCCTTTTGCAATGCTTTTTTTTTTCTCCTCTCTTCTCAATAAAGCCCTTTTCACAGATATTCTGGAAAATGCACAGACAAACTGACCCAGGATTATTTGACTCTGGTTCGTTTTTGGTTCATTCATACTGCCAGTGATTTTCTGGAATCAGAGAGTGCGTTCACACACAACCTGTAAAAATCCCGTAAAGACATGTGAAATTGATGTGACGTAATGTCTCAGCAGCATCAAGTTTGCTTAGTAGCTGCGATTTCTTTCTCCAGAAACGCTTGTGCATTATTCGATCCTAAACTAGCGCGTCATCACTTCAGCGTCATCACTATGACACGGTATTGGTTACGGCATACAGCCACTTCGCGGCATCGATCCTAGGTAATGGCCTACAATCAACGACTTCTATAAAACCTGAAGAAAGATCACATTTCATTGGCAGAGGCAGTATTTTAAAATTGTAACCATCATGGCTGCTCATTTCTCTAGGCAGATTTTTTTTTTTTATGCCAATCACTCAAGCTGTCCATTACGGAAGCCCTGAACTGAAACATAAAAGCATTTTGAAGTTAAAGTTGAAACATTTCGATATTAAATTCGAAATATTTCGTGAGTATGAGAATACAGTCTGCTGTAGAAGTTGCGTGTGTGGTTGCCATTGTTTCACATTGTCTCTCTCTCTCTCTCTCTATATGGAATCTACACACGTTTCCTGGAAAGAGCAACGTTTTTGCAGGATATGGGTGATGTTTGATCCATAATTGACCTCATATATATCTTTTGTTCAAAAACAAATAATCAAATTATTGAGGGTCACTTGTACATCATTCTAGCTCTCTAAGTTCTTTCTTTTCTTTCTTGCTTTAATGGGCCTCCTCTAAGCTGGCATGCTATTTATCATTAAATATATATCCTTAGTTATATTAAATGTATTACACATTGTACTGGTTATATATATATATATATATATATATTTTTTTTGTGTGGAATAATCCTTAAAATAATAATAATAATAATAACAATAAAACTACAAGATTAAATCTATTTTGCTAAATGTAAAAATAAATTTAATAAAAATATTTTAAGTATATTTACATATGATATCCACTAGATCGAGTATGTAACTTTATCTACGTAATGACTTCATTGCAAGGTTTCATTACTAATACTGTATGACATATATTTATCACGTCCTGAAACACTGCCCAAGTACATTTTATAAAGACAGTTGGCCATGTCCTTCTGCCCCTTCCTGTCCAGTCACACGATTAAAAGAGGAACAGACAGCTGTCTAATTGTGAGTGACATACTGATCAACCTGAGTTAATCAACCGCTGTGTTTCATATATGAGTGACCTGTCAGTCAAATCTCTGCCCTGTCCATCCAGTCATGATGGAAGTCTTTGTGACATCAGACAAAGGGTGGAAAGGTTAACAGAACTAAGCTCTTATTTTATTACCATCTGAAAACTCATACACCGCTATTTTATTTCAACATCTTGTTTTTGCCGATTTGATCACAAGCTGATCTTAAGCTACAGTAATTACAGGTTTTGCTATTCAAAAGTGCAGTTAGTCGACAACATATCTTATTTGGTGTGAAATAAAAATATCATGTTTCAAAGTTGAATTAAATGCAAGGCAAGGCAAGTTTATTTATATAGCACATTTCATACACAAATAATTCAAAGTGCTTTACATAGGCTAGATTTACATTAAAATAATCAAAAGAAATAAGACTAATTAAAATGGTTTAGAATTTAAAAAAAATAAAATAAATTACAGTAAAAACAGTCGGACAAACAGTGGCACAGTGTTCATTCAGTAAATGCATTGCTAAACAGAAGTTTTGAGTCTGGATTTGAATGTGACTACTGTAGGAGCACATCTGATCTCCTCTGGAAGCTGGTTCCAGCTGTGACTGGCATATAGCTAAAAGTAGACTCTTGAGTGCTTAGAGTGAACCCTTGGTATTTCTAGCTGATGTGATCCTAATGATCTAGGCAATATTAGACAATATCTAATATGTTGATGAGTAATATAAACAACCAGGAATTATACTAAATAGAGATTCAAAGCAGAAAGCTATACGGAGCCTACAGACGCAAACCAACTGCAAGGCAGTCATTCACCCAAAAATGAAGAAAAGTCATAATTGACTTGCCCTCAAACTTGTATGAATTTCTTTCTTCTGCTGAACACAAAATAATATGTAACCAAACAGTTGATGGGCCCCACTGGCTTCCATAGTATGGGGAAAAAAATGAAACAAAAACACAATCATGTTTGGTTCCTGGCATTCTTCAAACTATCTTCTTTTGTGTTCATAAGAAAGACATTCATACAGGTTTGGGTGAACTATCCATTTAAATAAGAAATAACCAACAACAGCAGCATTGCAATTTGGCTTCATATCTATGAACTGTGCAAGCTAGCAAAAAAAAAAAAAAAAAAAAAATTATTAAAGAATGTAGTCAAATATAGTCAAAACAAAAATCGTAAAAGTAAACATCTCCCCGGATCTGAGTGAGCATGAGCAAATCATTGTCTGGGCTCGAAATCAAGAAGCACAGAAATGTTTTATTGCTGCCAAAAGTAATTAATCTTCCCGCTCTATGGAAATTAATCGGATTATTTGGCCACGTGGCCCGGCAAATTTCATCTTCCATCTCATTCCTCCCGCAGGCTTGGCCACCTCGCCCACCTCCACTCTCTGCTTCAGAAACAACACAATCTTTTCAGCTGAGACATCTGTCATTATCTCTCCACAGGTCCTCACACTTTCTTCAGCACTTTAGTTCCGGTTTTGCATGCAAATCTTGCTTGAATCTGCAGAAATGGCTAATAATAAATGTTGAATTATTTAAAATGTTTAAAAGTTTAAAAGTTGTTTTGTTTTTTGTCTTAATAATAATGGTTAATAATAATGACGGAATTTTCCTTTAAATCCCGCCTCTTGTCTTTTGTCATTTCTGTATTTGTCATCCATGATTCAGATGATGACATTTGATGCTGTATATGTGACATAATGGTACTGTAAACTATTTCATTAAGCAGGTGTTATCTCACTGTACACACTGTTCTGAGGGTGAGGGGGTCGACATACATTTTACCAATGCATTCTTTAACCTTTTTAACCATGTTACACACCCCTCACAAAGTTAGTATGGATGCAGATGACTGAGCCGTTCGCGAGGACTGATTCATGTTGAGTAGTCTAGTGTAACTGTGTCACAAGGGGTTTAATTCATGCTCACACTTACACACACACAAAGTACATGTCACTGTGGGGTGAAGTCGTGCCACAGATGCCCCATATCAGTTCACACCTTCAGCACTTTGCTAATGAATGTATCTGACACACAGTCCCAGTGCATGGATGAAGTAGCACATGAGCCCCTGTTAATTGCGCACTAGGCCCCATGAGTTTGATGGGTCAGAATTTAGATGACTCAAGACTAAGTTTACACGACAACAATATGCTTAAAACTGAGAAGTTTTCATTTGAGTTTTACGCATACAGTATTGTCAAAACGATCCCCATTAACACGGATCTGCGGAAAATACTAAAAACGCTGTATACTGCTAGGCCATTAGATGGCGACGAAACACTATAGACTGAACATGTAATACGCATGTGCATGACGTCATCATCTTCAGAGATTCACGTTTTTGTAGGCCCAAAAACGTGCACTTTGACGAAAACGTGCGTTTTCAGGCACCCACAATGCCATTGTCACGTAAACGAACGGCCAAAACGCATAAAGTTTTACATTTTTAGTTGAAAACTGTGTCGTATAAACAGACCCCTAACTTAGGTCAAGTAGAACTGTCAGATGTGGGTTTCATTTTATTGCACGTTTTTGACCTGACTACCTTATCTTTGAATACATCGGCCCCCTGAAAGTTCTGAAAATGTTTTTATTTTTTATTTACGACAACAACAAATATTATTGTCAATTTTAGCCAACCCGCACCATTTCTGTTGGCAATATGCATTAAACGGTGGCCAGTTCATGGGTGTGCTGCCAAAAAGGGTTAAAATATTTAGCTTAACGTTAGTTGATTTGTTTGTGATTTAATTGATTCTTTCTATTACAGTGGTTATATCTCTATGCATTCTTGTTTCTTTGTTTGCCTGTGCAGATTAGTTCCATTTGACTGCTCAAGAAATTATCGGAGGACCCAGAATGTCGTACGGATCCATTGACGCAGGCTCTTTTGGAAGCAGAAATCCATTTGGTGGGCCCACAAGGCAGGGATACCAGCCAGTAGGTAAAGACACATTTTTGTTTTATGCTCACAGGCAGGGGTTCTCTCTATTTATCATCAGGCATTGTTGAAAAAAATATTATAAATCATACTACGGAGACAAAGATTTTGGTCCCTCCTCATTTACTGAAGCATTATGCGTTTATTCCTTCTCCATAAATCATCATGGGATTAATAAGCCATATGGCTAATTTAGTGAAGTTCTGCCTCGTCGGAGTTCTGATGTGTTTAGTAATGAGTAGTATGTTGACAATTAAACACTGTCTTCGATAGTTATAATACAATGTCATGGTAACAGAAGAGCTTGTTAGATCTTTCAAAAAAAAAATAGCTACAGGTGAAAATATTGCATCTCAAAAAGAAATATGGAAATTAAAAATGGATAACACTTCTTTTCCGGGCAGAGTGAAACCTCAAGCCTTAATGTGACCGGAAATGCCTGATTTTGATATATAAACAAGACATACTGGTGTCAAGTGATTAATACCGGAGCAGCAAAACCAAGTAGCCTACATATTGGGTGACTTTTTATGTCACTCTTTAGTTCACACTGCAGGCTGAAACGACCTAATTCCGATTTTTTTGCCCCTATGCGACCTGTATCTGATTTTTTCATGACAGTCTGAACGACACAGATCCGATCTTTTCAAATGCGACCCAGGCCACTTGGGTATGTGGTCTAAATCCGATATGTATCCGATCTTTTGAAATGCGACTTCAATCTGAACGGCCAGGTCACATATATCCGACCCGCACGTCATTGCAAGCACCTGTAGCCAGCCAATACACGCTAACTCCAACGCGTTTCCTCACTGTTATAGGGCCGCTGCAGACGTGTCTCTTCCCCAGTGTTGTGCCTGAACGCGTTCAATGAACGATAGTGCATGAACGCGTTCATATTTTCGCCTGTATCATATTATTCACGTTCGCCCGAAATAAACATACTGTATTACTGCCTGATGAACATTACTGTGAACACGTTCATTCTGGTGTATGTGAACGTGCGCTCTCTGTCAGTATAACTTTGTACAGTAGGGTGCCAGATATAGAGCCTTCCAAGCGAAAACCTGGCTAAAACACATGTGAACATGCCTTAAAATGTAGCGAATAACCACCCAATCTGGCAACACCGCGGCCGCCGGTGACAAAGCAAGGAGCACCGCGGACACGCACTATCAATTAAACAGGTTTTATGACGAGGTCGGTGAGGATCGGAAAAATCTTACATTTATGTGCAAACTGCCCGTCGATAAAATAATTATTGTCTGTGTTTGTATATGGGCTGTGGCAATAATAATAATAAAACAAAAGCTCGCAACATATGGAAAAAAAGAACTATTCTGCAAACAACAAGTGACGTCTTGGACCGTTGATTACTCTTCTGCGCATGCGGGTCACTTCTGGGTCATTTCGCGTTCACACAGGAGATCACAAAAGGTCGCATTTAATTGGAAATGTGAACGGCCTTGCAAAAAAATTGCATTTTTTCAAAAAATCGGAATTGAGCATTAAGCCCTGCAGTGTGAACGTAGCCATAATCTGAGTTGACCTTGACCTTTTTGACTCAATTCAGCCATAGGCATAAAATAACAGGCAATGAAGGAATACTATATATAATGTACAAATGTTGTTTGCTTTTAATCACACTTTCCTCCAACACTGTGACTAGCTAGCAAGCTACTGTAAGTCATTTACTCCGTCTTGTCATTCCAAATATTAAGGATTAATTTCCACAATAAATAAACACATAGATATGAAAGTTAAGCTAACTTAATTATGATAAATTGATTGATTGTTGGATGGATGTATTGGTTGATAGTTAGGTAGGTGGGTGGGTGGATTTAAATAATGCAAACTAAGAAACCCTAACCTAACCAATCCTGCTAAAAACAAACAGACAAGAGAAACATTTGAACACGTTGCCTTCCTGCGGTTGTTGTGTAATGCAGATAGTGCCATGCATGACGGCCCGTGTCATATGTGTGAATTTAAAAGACATATTCAGTTCACATGAATTCATTTGCATGAATACAAGAATGTGCTGCTAAGAAACTGCATATGAAATGTCAGTAAAACAGCACGTGTCTTTTGTTGGCTGTTTTTGTTAGTAGCTAGAGTTTATGTTTTTATAAGAGCATGCATGCGGGATAAAGGGGTTGCGGCAAATGTAAGAAAACACCTTAAAAAAGGAAGACAACTTTTTTCCTCGCAGAGAACCTCTCACAATCAAAACATGCAAAAGCAAACAGCTTACTCTTTCACACAGCATGACCTGAGTAAATAATCACACATTCTGAGACCTCTCTCTGTGTGTGTCTGAGCATTCGGCTGCTGCCAGTCCCACAGGACGAGAGAGAGAGACAGAGAAAGAGAGAGACAAGGCTTTGATCACAGGCAGACCTGCGTTCAGGAGTCTGTCAGTTCTCGGTGTTTGTGCGCTCCAGCATCAGGCTGGCTGAAGAGTGGCTCAGGCGATGATCAAAGCCAGGGTTAAGTCTCTAATGGAGTTGTCAGTCGAGCTAATCTTTCCCCACCTCTCCCCTGCCAAACCTTTTAACTTGCTTCCAGTAGCATATGCATTTCTCCGCCATTCTCTCGTCCTCTCTCTCTGTCACTCCGTTTGCCGCTGTTGTTCTTCTTCCTCCTTTGTCCTTCTCTACTCTGTTTCATCTATGCATTACCAAAACTCTCTCCTGTTTTTCTCTGTCTGGTGCTTGCAAGATGTTTCCTCTGTTTTTCATGCCTTTTCCTCTTTTCTTCTTTCTTTCCTTGCTGGCATGTTTGTTTATTTTCTTTCTTGTATGCTTCATTTGTTCTTGCATTTTTTTCTTTCTGTCATCATATCTTCCTTCCTCTGTTCCTTCCTTCCTTCCTTCCTTCCTTCCTTCCTTCCTTCCTTCCTTCCTTCCTTCCTTCCTTCCTTCCTTCCTTCCTTCCTTCCTTCCTTCCTTCCTTCCTTCCTTTGTTTTTATTGCATCTTTCTGCCTCACTGTCTTTTTGCCTTCCCTCCATTTCTTTCCTTCTATTTTGCTTGCATTCCTTGATTTCCACCATAATTTCTTCCTCCCTATTTCAGCCTTCATTTTCTTGTGCTCCTTTCTCACTTCCTCCCTTCTTTGCTTTTTTGCTTCTTTCTTCCATTAATTCTTCCCTCTCACACTTACTTTTCCTCCATTTTTTATCATCTTGCACTCTTTCCTTCCTTCCTTCCTTCCTTCCTTCCTTCCTTCCTTCCTTCCTTCCTTCCTTCCTTCCTTCCTTCCTTCCTTCCTTCCCTCCCTCCCTCCCTCCCTCCCTTGAATCTCCTTCAACATTCCCCTCCATACTTTCCTTCCTTTCGCGCAATTTATTTCCTTTCTTTCTTTCTTTTTTCTTTCTTTCTTTCTTTCTTTCTTTCTTTCTTTCTTTCTTTCTTTCTTTCCTTCTTTCGTTCTTTCTTTCGTTCTTTCTTTCTTTCTTTCTTCTGTAAGTACGTCACAGCACAGTCTGGTCATATCTATTGGTTAACTGCACTGTTGTCACACTCCCCTCTCTCACCACAGAAAAAGAAAAGCTCTTGTCATGAGGCGACCATCTGATCAGAGCGCAGCACATGTGGTTAGCCCGTGTCTGGATGAGGCTTCAGCTTCTGCTGTGTTCATTAGGGAGGTTTGCAGGGTGGGTCTGTCTGTATGGAGAGACTAATGAATGGACACAAAAACACCAGCAGGGACCACACAGCCGTCATGAGCAGCCAAACCCGGGGCGTGCTCCACGTCCATGCTGGAATGATCCAAACAGAGGGAATAAATGAGCTCAGGTGTCATGCCTCATTCAGAGAGAGAAAGTGGAACAAACAGTGTGTAACCACACACACATGCAGCTACAAAACATAGGCCTGATTGTCTGTCCTGATCCATGTGGTGTGTGTGTGTAAGCCATCTCTACCTGTTTCAACAATTTTTGCCATTGTAATCAAATTACTGCACTTTTGTCTGATTTTGTGAATTTCAACCCTCTCAGACTTCCACGAGTGCAATTTCGTGTAAACCAGTATTATTGTCGATAGCCATATTGCATGTCACTGAGACCAAATGTGAAAGACAAATTGACTATGGAATAAAGGTCCTTTCGCTCACAGAAGTAATCAAGCATTCCATGATTACCTAAAGGCCACGTCGTGCGTCAATGTCTTGATTGCATTCTAATTGGTGGACTTGGGGAGGGAGGGGTTGGGTCTTTTAGCACATTTCAGTATGGATTGTGAGATTACATCGTGTAATGAGAGCAAATTGCATAACGTTTAGCGACAAGTTAAGTGCTGGGAAAGACTGGAAATGTCAAACATTGTGTGTTAAATACCCATTAACGTAACTGTCCAAGCTGAATAACCCAAACTTTATTATACGATGTGGGTTTTGTCTGGATCAAAAAGGTCTAAAATACCTGGAAAAAGCACTTCCATTTATTTTAATTCTATAGTTTCATTGTAGTACACATTTACTTGATTAGCAGTCAATCTGGTGCATAATAGTGACGTTAAAGGCATTGACCGTAAACTAATTTTAATATCTTCTTATCTGCATCCCTTTCTCTTAGAGAGGGTTGATTTAAAGGAATGAAGTATCCATGCATGTTCTATGTGAGGATACAGCTCCTGACCTTAATAATCTCCTTTGTGTGCTGTTCTGATTGAAACTTCTTAGTACTCAGAGTTGTGTCATGAAGAACCAAGCTTTAAATTTGGGTCTAGCTTTTCTGAGAGAACTGCAAAGTTCTCTTCACAGATTAGAGGAGTTGCTTGCCCCCAAATCCCCAGAGCTAAAGATTCTGTATGTGTAGAGTGTACGTGTTAGTGTATTTGCAGAAGAAAACTCAAAGGAGGGTGCAAAGCATTGCCAGATCCTCCCAATGCATTAACTGGAGCTGCACATGCTGTGCACGCAACCTAAAACACACAATGACTTCTGGTGTTGACGACTGTGAATAAACATGCCTGCAATAAGTAATGCACTTCAGGCTGGGTTTCTAAGTATTTTTTTTTTTTAAAGCAATCATCTAAACTGTATTTAGCAGTACTAAAACATTCTGTGATGTGCTTGGAGCCTTTTTTTTTACACTGATTTTTTTTCTCTTAATCATTATTTTTGTTTTGTACTCCATCCTTAAAACAACATACATTTTTTCTCGCCCCATTGGTTCTTGCTCCAAAGTGTTCTCGTTTAGGAAGGTCTAGGCTAGAAAAATAAACACAACCCTAAATACTCTACCATTCAAATGTTTGGGGTAATTAAGTTTAAGAAATTATATTTTTATTCAGACAAATTAAATGTATCAAATTTGAATGTGTAGACTTCTACATTGTTACAGAATATCTCTATTTCAAATAAATAATTAAATGCTGTTCTTTCGAACTTTCTATTAGTATCCTGAAAAAATAAAATAAAATCAAGGATTCCACATGAATGAACGTTTCGGTGCAGCGCCACCTACTGGTCCGGAGATATGGAAAATGTCTATTTTGCTTGATTGGTTTGTCTAAAAATCATAAATCTGGTCTCGTTAGATTCAGGGCGTCATGCCGAGTCGGCTGATATTCAATTTTCGCAGATCGGCCATTTTAGCTGTCGGACATTTTAAATTATGTGCTAAAATGCTGTTTTTTTCTGAACGCATGAACAAATTGTTACGAAACTTGGTATAGGTCATCAGTACGATGCCTTAAGGAGCCTTAAGCATTTAAAAATGTATTTATTTTTTTTATAAAAAGGCAGGTCTGCCTTTTTTTTTTATATAACTCCGGGTATGGTTGACTTATTTTCACGAGATTTATTTTCACGAGATTTATCTTGTTGGGTTCCTTAATCCTTGCCGAGACCACAAATACCAAACATGCTAGGTTTCGTCATACGGATTGTGTAGTGTTGTGATTTAGCGCTTAAATAACGCTTGCCAATATCTTCGAAACCGTTAGTCTGATCGAGATGAAACCAGCCTCAGAAGTTTGGAAACATAGGTCGTTGGCTAAACGATAATACTTTAATGCCAAAATATTGATAGTAAGGGGTAGTAAAATAGCTACAATAAAAATGGATACAGGATTTGTCGACTAAAACTATATCCTGTCTGTGCTACAACCGCTCATACATGCATTGCTTTCGTTAGTTGAGTCATTGTGCGACAGGCCTGGATCTTGCACTGCGGGGATAAGGACCCGTCTCACACTGTATCACATATCGTCTGACAGACTTCTCTGGCCTGTAAACCTCTCTCTCCCTTGGCTCATCTCAGCTTTTTTTCACCCTCTACAATACATGGGGATTACTTTCTAGTGTTTCCGATAGGGTGTGTGTAAGAGAGAGAGACACATACTGACCTCATGCATAACAAGGAGAAAGCTTTTGATTAAGTAATTTCCTGATTTGAGAGTATAATTGAACACCCTTGCAGAATCTGCATTTACAGCCTTGACGAACAATTCAGAAAGGGCAGAAGTTAATTTGTCCTTTGTCCCAGATATTTCAGATCAATTTTCTCACCCCGGACTAGAGAAAAGTGCTTTGCGGCTTTGTTTTTCGGCATTTTAATGCGTTTTGTGTCTGTTTATTTCCAGTGGCTCCTTACACTCACACTCTAATGTACAAAATCAGACAAAAGTGCAGTAATTTGATTACAATGGCAAAAATTGTTGAAATAATAATATTACAATGACCCCATCAATGGTTACGCTTTGAATGCCAGTCGTTTTAACTATGCATGTTTAAAGGAGTTTTTCAAGCTTATAGTTCATAATAGTTTAGAGTACTACACTACATAAAAGTATACATTTTATTTTTATTAAAATCCAAAATACAGTACACCTTAAAGGGTTAGTTCACCCAAAAATTATATCATTAATGACTCAACCTCATGTCGTTCCAAGCCTGTAAGACCTCTGTTCATCTTTGGAACACAGTTTATGATATTTTAGATTTAGTACGACAGTTTTCTGTCCCTCCATTGAAAATGTATGTACGGTATGCTGTCCTAGTCCTGCGCTGTCGATCGCATGCAGACACACTTACGTGCTGTGCGCTCTTGGACACTCGGTCTCTCTCGTGCTCTGTCGCTCGCGTGCAGACTCATTTTCAATATCTCTCTCGAAATGTGCCTCATGGAGGCACGTGATCAGACAGTGGTCAATGGAGAGCTAGATTGATTTTGCAAAAATAAAAAATCTTCGATACGAAGCGCTCTGTGAACGGAATGACGCATTTTAAAAATCGAATTTAATTCCGCCTGTCAAAATAAAAGTCCGCAGCACCGTCAAAATAAAAGTCAACACATCGGCCAATCAGAAAAACATCTCGGTCAATGCTGATATTTTAAAGTCAAATATCGGCCAATATATCGGCCCTGACGATATATCGGTCGACCACTAAATAGCACCATGGGTGACAGAAAAAATGTCAAAACTTCCCAACACAATAATCCTTGAATTTAGGTAAAGTGTTTAGAGGGATCAGGAAGTAGTGCCCTTGTGTTTCCCCCTCTTAGCCCACCCCATATGGAGGGATCGTGCTCGATGCAGAGTGGAATGAATATGGAACATCCATCTATCACGATGATGGAGGAGAGAGTATGAGAGGTGTGCGCATAGCTGGAGGCCAGTGGAGATAACAGTAAGGGCACAAAAGGTTGTTTCCCTGAAAAATGATCCACTGAGAACAGCTTATCACCTTTGTATTGCACACACACATAAACACAAGCACATCTGTCTGGAAGCAGTCAGATAGATAATGTCATATGCTTTTCGTTGTCATGTAAAATTCACACCTACAGTTAAATATTTTTATTTTTAGTCTGCTTATGCTGAGCTATTAGTCACTCACATGTGCAATGTCAAGAAGTCCCCGTTTTGTGATTGTTAACATAATTCATCATGTTTCAGCTATATTTCGACACATATATGATACTGCTTACAGTTCAGCTCACAGTTAGCCCTATATTGGTGCTTTGGTTTACTTTGTCTTTGGTGGAACCATCTTAATAGACTTGAATGGACATTTTTATTTTTCATATAATACATAAATTTTTCATATATATATATGTGTGTGTGTCATGAATATGATGGAGGGTTCATACATTTTTATGACAACTGTCATTAAGTGCCATATTTAATGACATATTTATGACAATTTATGTTGTCTTGTTAATGTCAAGTTGTCATTACCTAGACATTGACAGGTTATGATGTATTGGTTTTTGTTAAGTTGTCATATCAAAGACATCTCAAACAATGCCATATTTGCATTCAAAATGTAATAATAGCCAATGACACTTAATGACTTAATAAGAGCCAATGACACTTAATGACATTTGTCACAAACATGCATAAAACCTTCTTCATATTCATGGCATGTGTCATGTCATGATTATGAAGGTGCCATGTCAGTCTTATGCACACTCCTTCAAGTAAAGTGTTACCATACATGCATATATATTTTCCTCTTTACCTGCTTCTTGTACCAAGTCCAAACCCTAGAGTAGAATGTGCATCAGCAAAAGATTGCCTGTGATTTTCCCCTCTCAAGTGCAAGTGCATTAGGGCACAGATGAAGAGTTGTAAAAAACAGCACGTCAATTACAGTCATTTTGAGGGCAGAGAAAGACAAAAGCACAAAGACGACACATTTGTGTATGTGTGCGGGGCCTGTGGGTTGTACTTCGATACAGAGGTTGTGCAATTGATTTTGATTAAGAGCTCTTGATGATTACCTTTTTTCTACCAGGGTGTGCATGATACGTGCGTTTGATGAAGAAAATGGCTTTGCCCACACTCCCATTTGCGTGGCTCACGACTCAGTCTGTTTAAGCATAGCTTCTGTCCAGAAACATGGCGTGTTTTTGATTCTGCTTTGTTTGGCTTCTCTTAGCAGAAATATGGAGGCTCTCATGACTATGGGGTGCCCAACTAAGTTAGAAAAAAAACATCATCATGTACGAGAGATTTTGTAATAGGTTTTTTTTTTTTTTTTTTACCACAGGTAAGGGATTAAAAACATTACTTTTCTTAGGTTTTTGGGTGTTTCTTAATTCTTAACCACTTTATCAGTACACAGTATTGGTAATAATATATATATATATATATTTTGTACAGTGCTCATCCAAGCATATTTCAGAGTCTGAACTATTCGTTTTATTATCATCAATTTAGAAAAAAAAAAAAATTGTCTGTAATACTATTTTAGCATAAACAATCAATCACACACATCAACTTTAAACGCTGTGTTTACTAACCCTAATCTTCTTTCTCCTACAGCTACACAAGTCAGCCCCTCAGAGCTTCAAGATGTGTTCCAGGAAACCTCCTCTAACATCTTTCAAATCAATGCTAACGGTGAGTTTAAAAGGCCTCCAAATATTCTGACCTTGATTTTAAGCCATAAAGGATCATGCAAGTGCAGGGTTGCTAACTCTCACGCATCTGGCGTGACACTCACGCTTTCGGCATCAATCTCATGCTCTCACGCACACGCAAGAAATGTCACGATAAAATCCATTGTTTTCTCCCCTCGCAATCCGTTAATTTTCAGTTGATGACTAGACCACAGCGTATTAATGACAGGAGAGGAGTTTAAGCTCTAACATCTGCCTACAACATTCTCACGGCAGTATTTTCTGATCGTTGATTCACTAAAAACCTTGCACCTGATAACGTTACATCAGTTGTGAAAAGTTCAGAGAGAGTTTAGAGCGTAGGTTCAGAGTCGGAGCTTGGTCGGAGCCCATTCATGCACGTTTGAACGTTTGGACGACAATCAAGGTAAGCAGATAATAAAATGGTGTGCCTTGTCACTAGTGACGTAGCCTTGCCTTCTCAGCCTGTGTGCCGAGAGTACAGACTTCAACTTTAGTTGCAAACGTTGTCTGACGTGCGTTATGTGGGCTAGCTAATTGCTCAATAAAAATAGGCTCATGATACAAATTATGTTTTGGCAAATCGGGTAAGTGGCATTTTAAATTTCCCCAAATTATCAAAGGTTGTCCAGATTGTGTTGAGCCTGCCACACTGAAATGCGGATGCTGAGCGAACCTTTTCAGTTATTGGCTTAAACAAGACTGACACCACAGACTGTCACTTGATGGCACCCTGTGATGGGAAGTTAGGATCAGTTTACTGACTCACTTGTTTGATCTCATTCATTAAAATGAACAAATCTTTTTTCGCTTCATTTAAAGGGCTTTAAAGGGATACTCCACTTTTTTTTGGAAATAGGCTCATTTTACAACTCCCCCAGAGTTAAACAGTTGAGTTTTACCGTTTTCGAATCCATTCAGCCGATTTTCTGATATTTAGAAGAATATCAGTAACCAGACAGTTTCTGGTCTCATTGACTTCCATAGTAGGAAAAAAATATACTATGGAAGTCAATGAGACCAGAAACTGTCTGGTTACTGTTATTCTTCAAAAAAATCTGAAAATCGGCTGAATGGATTCGAAAACGGTAAAACTCAACTGTTTAACTCTGGGGCAGTTGTAAAATGAGCCTATTTCCAAAAAAAAGTGGAGTATCCCTTTAAATGTTATACATTTAACTGCTAAATTCCCCGATCACATCCACCTACGCAGTCTTTGAATTAGGAAATCATTATAATGCAGTCAAAAATAATTTTGAACATAAATAATTACTTTCCGAGTCTTTCGTTCATTTGTCACATGACAGATGCAATCAATAGATTGTTTATGAATGGATCGAACCCTGCTTCAGATACAAACCTTGCAGAGGCAGTGAAGCAGGCCAAACTACCACTGTGGCACATAACAGGCCTAAATTGTGAAACTTGTGTGTTGTGGTTTTCTGGGGAGGTGGAGTAACTAATAGGCCTATGTGTCCCTTTTGTTTTGAGATTTCTTATTGTGTAGATGTTGTTTTACATATTTGTAACTTAATCACCTCTATCTTTATTTTTATATAGCGCAATCAATAAATTAATTGTACATTTTGAAAAAATATTTTTGTTGTTGTTGTTGTTGTATAAATCAGGGTTTATACTAAGTAAACAAGTACTGACATTTTTAAAATTAGGGTTAGAGTTACCAAAACATTTCTCCGCGTGCAGTCTCACTGCAGATTTTACAGTCTCACCCCAAAGTTGGCAACCATGTGAAGTGAAAGTAACAAAATGAAATTGGCCTACACATGGAAGTTTCTGTCTGTTCTTTTCAGTGGTAACATTAGAGAAGAATCTTCAATCATTGGGAACATCCAGAGATACAGCAGAGCTACGGCAGAGTTTGTAAGTCAGCACACACACACACAGTTGCGCTTACACCATGGCGGGTTGCTATTTACATAGTGAAATTTGCAAGCGGAAATATTAAATCCTTCTCAAGCGAAGAAACGGATCTGCTCGTGCGCGAGATTAAAGCTCAAAAGCAGACCATATACTGGACATGCCGGATTCCACCATATCTTTATGTACACAATGTTAATCTTTTACATTGTAATACTATTATTTTGATATTTTGCAAGTTTGTGTGCTGCTGCGCATCCCTTTCTGTGTAATAAGCATAGTGTACAGTATGCGTTGTGGACCCATCTAGGCACATATTAGTATGTGCCCTTTCAATAGCAAAAAAATAAAAAATACTACGCCATAGACTTTAGACCAGGACTTTGATGGTCAATCAATGGTGCAGTCTATTTCAGTTGCCTCAAAATAGCAATGCAGCAACAATGTGCCTGAACACACCTTGTTTCAAACCAGCAGCCCATGGGCGAACAGATGGGCGCAAATGCATTTGCCATTCAAACAACGTGGCGCAAGACGTGAAAAATATAACTGAAACTAGCAAAATAAGAACTAGCCTGGTGTCACATTGTGCCAGGTGTTTGGGTTTTCATGACTTTCCATAGACATAATGATTTGTAAACTGTATACTATCCCCTTACACATAACCTTACCCCTAAACATACTCATAACAAAAAAACTTTCTGCTCTTTTACATTTTCAAAAAACAGAGTGGTTTTCTTCAGCGGGACCAAAAAAAATCCTCCCAAAAAACAATGATTTCGGATATCTGATTTATGTATATATATAGTCCCAGGACCTTTTATAGCAGCAGAGAAAAGCAGATTTGTGCTCCATTAGGATGTCATAATATTTTTCTCACAGGCCTTCAGTGGTTTTAATAGCTTCCCTTTTGCTGACTCTCTATAGAGCACTTTGAAACTGAATAACATCTGAGCACTCACTCTCACTGTTTCATCACCTTCCGCCCAGCATGTATTGTTTACTCGTCTGACTGTTTGTAGTCAGGATGCCACAATTACTAAATTATTTTCCGATGACAAAGTAGTTGGTCTGGAATTGCTGTTGTTTGAAATGCATTACACAATCTGTGTCCAGTGGCGGCTCATCAATTATATCAGCCATTTTTTTTGCTAATGAAAGCATTGCAAAACTAATACTGTTTTTGGTGTGTGCGGTTGTCCCCCACCCTCCCTAAGGCGCAACATGACATCTATTGTTAGCTATAAAGCCTTTGGGCAGATTGGCTGCTTAAAACCAAATGAGATAAGCAGCGACGTCTTTCTACTTCTACACCCTCTGCTGTTCTTGTGAAGTGACTGCACATTATACAAAGAATAATTGTGAGCTAAAATTACATCACAAAGGCACAACATTTCCCTTGTGTACTGCTGCAGTCTTGTCTTGTGTGGAATTGAATGAAGTGTAGGTTTATTGCAGACAGCCAGTCTCAAGCACACCTGAGTCATTAGCCAATGTGAAAAGTGTGGTGTGCAAGATATGTTTTTTTTTGCATCCACTTTATTAGCGTCTGCATGTAAATTCAACACAGTTGCACCTGCTTCTCTCGCTTTTTCTTTGTATCACTTTTTCAGTCTTTCTTTGCATCAATTCGGTATTCCCATTCAATTGCAGTTCCTTAAAGGGATAGTTCACCCAAAAATGAAAATTCTGTCAGTATTTACTCATCGTCATGTTGTTCCAACCCCGTAAGACCTTCGTTCATCTTCGGTCTGCTGGATCACTCCTCCATACTAGTCCATAGGTTTCTTGAGGGACTGAAATTTGCCGGCCTCAAAAAGTTATTAAAGACATCGTTAAAATAGTCAAAGTGACTACAGTGGCTCAATCTTAACTCGATGAAACGACGAGAACACTTTTTGTGCGCAACCCTCCCAAAATAACTACTTTATGTCAACTATTAATTTCCTTCTCTCTGGGCCTCGAGTCAGGTTTCTAGTTTATCAGCGTATAATCTGTTGTTGTACGTCACACGCATATCATACATGACCAGTGTCGGCTAATAGTGAGCCTATAGACCAACGCCACTTTTGCGTCATCGTAGGGTAACGCCCCCTTTTGGGGGAAAACACCTCTATACTGTCTATGGGAAAACAAACGGATTCCCATGAGAACAGAACTCGCACTAGATCTGCAAAGTTTCTTGATAGCAAAAATTGCACAAACTTAAAGAAGCTAACGTTACTGAATACGGGGTTACAGAGGTTTCCCTTTGAAATGGTCGAAAACTGGATTAATGACCCCACACAGCGGCCAAATATGGACTATTCAGACATCTAACGTTACCACTATCTCGTGGAATCAGCAAGTAAGTAGCCTTTTTTATTTATTTATCATTTACACACTCACAGTAGCCTATTACAAAGCTTAAATCAAGTTAAATATGATCCATTCATCGTCTAGTTTGTCATACTGTGAGTGTTAATGAAAAAAAAGGCTAGCTACGTGCTTACTTGGTGATTCCACGAGATAGTTGTAACGTTAGATGTCTGAATAGTCCATATTTGGCCGCTGTGTGGGGTCATTAATCCAGTTTTCGACCATTTCAAAGGGACACCTCTGTAACCCCGTATTCAGTAACGTTAGCTTCTTTAAGTTTGTGCCATTTTTGCTATCAAGAAACTTTGCATGATCTAGTGCGAGTTCTGTTCTCATGGGAATCCGTTTGTTTTCCCATACACAGTATAGAGGTGTTTTCCCCCAAAAGGGGGCGTTACCCTTTGATGACGCAAAAGTGGCGTTGGTCTATGTGTGACTTAGCTCTACACTAGTTTAACTGACTAGAGGCCCAAAGAGAAGGAAATGAATAGTTGAAATAAAGTTGTTATTTATGTTTATTTTTGCGCACAAAAAGTATTCTCGTCGCTTGATAAAGTTAAGATTGAGCCACTGTGGTCACTTGGACTATTTTAACGATGTCTTTAATACCTTTTCGAGTATTTTCTAGATCATAAATAGTACGTATTTTTACCATTCACGACTCATGCGTTGCTCTCCGCCATTTTGAAAAGGTCAAAGGTTATCTCATCTCGACAACTCGTGCTTATATATGTACACACATCGTGCGTATATTTAAACTAATTTAAACTATATCTATTTAAACTAATGATGTATTTTGAATTTGCACACGGGTGGGTGTGTAATTTTTACTGTTCTGTGTCCATAAACCGTTATTTCCACCACTTTAATCAAACCACTCTTCTATAAAATATTTAGATTTCATTTTAATTTCACACGTCTTTTTGTTTCTCGTTGCCCCTCGTATTGAGCTATTTGGTCCGCACACAGGACCCACTGCCAATCACACGTGCTCACGTCATTCTCTTTCTGTGAAACCTGGAAACTCGTGAGCTTAGAATTATAAGGTTCTATCTCCACTTTTGGTCGAAATTGAGTTTTTGACATAATCTAATCCATTAGGTGTTTATTAATGCCTGTGTGGTGTTATTTTTGTAAAAAAAGAAGCTATAATAGAAGATTATACTACATAACAGTTTTGCCAGCTGGGATGTAAAAAACTTTGATGCTCAATATCTCAGAACTACCCTAAACGGAGATAGAACCTTATAAATCTAAGCTCACGAACTGCATTCACCTATTTTCACTCTATAGTGGTTGACCAGAGCATTGAAATGATCTTTCACTTAAACTACAATCAAATGGATTTCCCCACACATTTTGCGTCAGTCCTCTGCGTGACATTTTATTCTTTTCTACACGGCCGCCGCTTCAGAAGTGCGTGACCGCGCACACATGCAGCTTAGAGGGAACATTGGTTTTAGCCAATGTTTTTTTCTTTGCTGTTTCTTAGTTGACCTTGAATGTGCTTCCCTTCATGCCAGGCTTACTGCTCTAAACAGGGCACTTGACAGCAACCCCTTCTCCCGCTCTCTCTCTCTATTGCTCGCTCTCTGACTCTACCCGTTTTCCTACTCTTTCTGCCCTTTGCTGCACCCCAGCCATGATTTTATTACAGCCAGTTTCCACGGAAACCTTGCAGTTTCAGGGTCATACCTCCCAGATGGCGATATGTCGCCCAAAGGCCCTGCCAGACTGCCCCCCACCCCCTCCTACCCAAAATTTCCTCACACACACAAACATTTGCACGCTCTACAAAGTCACAGGCAAGCCAAGATACAGACTTCCAGTGCACTAAAAATGCACTGACTCAGAGTGGACTTCAGAGATTGGCAATATAAGAGACAGATGAGGCACACGGCTACTGTTTGTGTGTATTTTATTGCATGACTGAATCTATAAAAATGTTTTTATTAAACTGTAGAAAAGGAACAATATCTTAGAATCTCTCGAGTAAGACAGCATATGCAATTTACTGTTCAAAAATTTGGGCTCAGTAAGAATAATACTTATTTAGCAAGGAGGCATTACATTGATTTACCTCTTTCAGGTAAATGATTGAGGTAAATGGTAAAATATTTCTTTTTCAGGTAAATGTTGTTGGATGCTTTTGACTTTTTTTATTTATCAAAGCATCCTGATGGAATCCTGATTCCAACAATATTGAGCAGCACAACTGTTTCCAACATCACTGAAAATAATGCATGTTTCTTGAGCAGCAAATCAGCATAGAATGATTTCTAAAGGATCATGTGACACTGAAGCCTGGAGTAATGATGCTGAACATTTAGGTTTACCATGCTTCACTGGATTAAATTGCATTTATATTAAAATAGAGAACAATTGTTTTAAACAGTAAAAAAAAAAAAAAATCATGGCCTTGGTGAGCATGAGACTTGCTGATAAAAAAAGTAAATCGTCATAAAGCATTTTGGAATAAAAAGACAATAATTGATTATTAAAAAATTGCTTGTTGTTGCCCTACTCTGAAGTGTTAGCTTGACAACTTACAACTCTTAAGTGTTTGCACACGTTCGGTGCATCTCATTCCAGTGAAAAATCACTTGGCTAATTAAATTTGACCCATCTTTGTAATCGTAGAAACA